TTTTTTTTTTTTGTATTTTAAGCTAATATACACTACAATATTATCTAAAGTCTTATAAAATTATCAAATTGACTCATCAATCGATACTTAAACATATACTAAATTATTAATTATGTTTCTTAAAATCAAAAAAATAAAAAAAATCTTATAAAATTATTAACAATTTAAACAGTTTAATACTAATTATTTATACGAAGAAAGAACGCCATGTTTTAAGTCATAAACGTATAGTTGAAGAGCTTCTTATTTAAAGTCATAAATTTTAGTTATGGCTCATATAATTTGAAGACTTCTCGTTGCGAGATATGAATCATATGATCATAGCTAGGTAAATTATTTTGGGTTAAATATATAAAACTTTTTTAAAATTGCTGAGTTGAAGAAAATTTGTGTTTAAAAAACATTGACATAATTTGTCATTTTAAATATTTATTTTTAAGAAATCTACTCAAATATAACCGTTGTCATTAAAATTCACTAAATTATTATTCGTGAAATTTAATAAAAAATTAACAATGATTATTAAATTTAAGTTAATTTTTTAAAATAAAAATTTTAGATAATAAATTTATCAATATTTATTAAATGATGATTTATTTTAACACAATAATTTTAAGAAAAATTTATACCTTTATCATTTTTCCTACCTTAACAGACCTAAAACTGAAGCAAACAAAATTGCAGATGTGAACCGGACAGAGTGAAGCAATTCTGGAAGCTAGCATCAGATGCGACCTTCCGATTCTTGCACTTCTTTTCTGATTTTCTTTACACCTTTTCCACTCTCATAATGCGGTGCATCCGCTTTATGCTGTGTTCCCCTCCCAAGTTGCTTGTACCTGTTTATTCTCAAGTTAAAATAAAAATTCATTCAAAGCCCGACTCCAACTCACATCAAAGTTGGAATATAATTAATTATATATTGTACTATTTATAATCAACTATGTGTTGCTTTGATTTATATATGCCAAAAAAATTTAGTTTTTTAAACTAAGCCAAACAATTCTTCTTT